GGCCCTGAGCGGGGGGGGAACCTGCCTCAATGACCCCTCAGCGTGTGACAGGGGGGGGGGGGAACTGCCCTAATGGACACTGACGTGGGGGGGGACTTGCCTTAATGACCCCTCTGTGTGTGGGGGGGGGAACTGCACTAATGCACTCTCAGCATGTGACACTGATGGGGGGGGAGGGGCTGCCTTGGGTATCCAGTGGGGTTTACAAAGCACCTAATCTTCCAGGCACTTTTGAAAATCCCACTAGGTGCCTAAATACCTTTGAAAATCTGGCCTTTAGTCTGTGTCTCAGTGCCCCATCTGTACAAATGAGGATAACAGCCCTGCTTTACTTCAGAGGGACTGTGAAGAAAACTAGGTTAGAGTTTGTGAGCGCTCAGATAGGGGCCTGATAAGTACCACAGGTAGAGTGGGAACATTTCTATACCACTGCTATCCTTTCCTTTGGTTTTGGCCCCTTCTTTTCACCTACACCCTCAAATCTCCCCCTCTTCTGACTGTAACCTTGGCTCTGAGGGCTTGGCTGTATTTTTTCCTGAGTCCCCTGTGTTATCTCTAAAACAATCCTTCCTCCTTACTCCTGCCCCAGGAATTCCCGTTTTAGAGGCTAGACTTTCAGATCCTTAACTTAATCACCAGCCCTTTCTTATCTGAATCACCCTGCCTCTGTTTGTAAACAAAACACTGACTCCCTGCTCCAGGGACAGACATCCTCTGCAGAACTTACATTTCACGCTAATGCCTTGCTGTAGTTAAGAGCTCCGCTTGGGAGCTCGCATATCTCCTGTATGAAATTCAGGGGGGGGACTCCAGCCCCCCCCCCCATGGCACCCCTGCCCTTGTGGTGAGAATGATCAACAAACAAAGTTCCTTTAAGGTGCAGTGCCCGTCGGTCCCTCTCTCCCTCCACATCACCCCACTCATAATTGTTGTCTTTGGTCAGTGAAGACCGAGAGTTCAGAGGTACAGTCATGTGAGTTCAAGGGGGGGAGGGATGTAAGGCACCTTGCTCGCTCCTCGATCCGGCTGCTCGCTCCACCAGCCATTTGGCAGCTTGCTTTGTTTGCTCTATTTGCTGCTCTGCCTGTTACCCATAAAATCAGACTCAAGGCTCCCCCCCCCCCACAACAGCCTGCTTATATCAGTAATTTGTCTGTTTTTGGTAGATGAAAAGGGGTGGCCCGCCCTAGAGGAACTGGCAGGATTTTACAAGGGAGTTTCCCTCCAACCTATGGAAAACTCCCCAGAACAGATTAATTATGTTTACCCCTGGGAGGACATGAACACACCCCTCCACTCAAAGGATTGACAGTCAGGCAGCAATTCTTTGAAAATAAAAATAACTTTTATTTAACACATGTCCTAATACAGTAAATCTATTCTAAAGTATATATTTAGAACAAAAAAATAAGTTCTTACAGTTTATAAGACACATAAGATAAACTACTGGCAGATACATGTTAAAGTATTTAACATTATGTTATTATTTTCAGTGGTTACATATATATTTTCAGTGGTTACATTCTATATGCAATGGCCAATCACATATAGAATGCTGGCAACAAGTTACTTATTTGAAACATTTAAAAACATAATAACAAACATATACAGACATCCAACTTTATTATCTCAAACACACCCATTATTTCAATTCATTATCAAAATCACTGTGTTTACTTTTCCCGTAGTCTTCTTTTCCTCTGAAAAGGTCCTTCTGTTTTGTTTATATTCTGCTGCCCATTGTTCTGCTCCTTTCTTCTTTAGTGATTTTGCTGTTTTAGATGTTTTCTTCTCTCCTGCTTCTGCTCCCTCTCACTCCAGCATTTTTAACTCACAACAGGACTGACTAAAGCAGTGATGGGCAACCTGTGGCTACTAATCCACTGGCAGGCCACGAGACAGTGTTTACATTGACCATCCACAGGCACAACCACCCGCAGCTCCCAGTGGCCGTGGTTCGCTGTTCCCAGCCCATGGGAGCTGTGGGAAACAGCGGCCAGCACATCTCTGCAGTTCCCATTGGCCGGGAATGGTGAACCACGGCCACTGGGAGCTGCGGGCGGCCGTGCCTGCAGACGGTCAATGTAAACACTGTCTCGTGGCCCGCCAGTGGATTAGGTTACAGGCTGCAGGTTGCCCACCACGGGACTAAAGCTGGTCAGCTCTCTGCCTTATATACAGATTTTGGCATATTCTGATTTTTACAATCCTGAGCATTCCCACCAATCAGGTTTAACCCCTGTCAATCAAAGCTGGATTTGATTGAAGACCTGTGCCTTAGGAGTAGGGTGACCAGATGTCCCAATTTTATAGGAACAGTCCTGATTTTTGGGTCTTTTTCTTATATAGGCTCCTGTTACCCCCCACCCCCATCCCGATTTTTCACATTTGCTGTCTGGTCACCCTACTTAGGAGCCAGACCTGATTGAAGACCTGTGTTATGCTTCACTGACTCCTCCCTTCAGGGTTTTGGAGTGACCTCTATTTCACCTCAGCCTGCTTGCTTATTATTGGCCAAATCTCTCCCAGACCTCAATTTTGGATTTCTCTGACTCTGACTGTTTGCCACCACCATCTTGTTATTGGTAGCCATAACCATCTAAAATCATCTATATTAATTATTAAACCTGTATAATTATAAACTATCATGTCTAAGTATACCCTAACACTATGGTTCACTGTCACCACTCTATTTTTTTATTATTTTAAACAAGTTTAATTTCAATCTCTCCCTGCTTCAGCTAGTGGTGGCAGTGGAGCACTCTTATTCCTTGCACAGACCAGAGCAGTTGAAAAATCTCTTGTACCATGCCATCCACTCACCGCTCCACCGCTGTCTGCTCAGGGATGTCTTGAGGTCCCACCACTTAACACAGCTTTCAGTGATTTCAGCTGTTAGTGCAGGAGCCTCACAGCTAGCACAGGCTGAGGAGTCTCTTTAATCAGAGATACTGTCCCATAGCAGGTCTAATGCTTAGACCTAGTTATCAGTGATTTTAGCTCTATTGATCTGCACCAAACCATTCTCAATTGAGTCTTAATCAGCTCTTTCATTACACACTGGAGAGGGGGGAGGATCAAATGATGTCTAGGACCTTTAGGCAGAGCCCATGTCACCAGGTAAAAACACCTATCCCAACCCTCTCTCATCTCCCCTGGCCTTTGGCATTCCTGCCCTCAGCCTAAGGAGTGCAGTTCAGTTGAGGGTGAGTCCCTCAATCATGGCATGACAAACACCATTCTGCTGCCCATTATTCACACCACAAGGGTAACAATGCTTTATTACCCCTGCCCCCCCAATAACAGTGACTTGCAATCCAACACCAGTCAAAAGTGATCATTTGGGCAAAGCAGCTCCATTATGTTGTGCAACTAGACATGTCTTATGCAAATAGGGTCGGTTCCTGAAGTCTTCTCCCCCAGCTCATCACTAGATGTCGGGGAGAGCTCATTCAGACGCTGCTTACATTCTTTTGGTAACAAGCCAGGCTAAAAGATAATGGAATGAAGCTGCTGTAGGGAGTATTAAAGGTTATATGGGCCTGATTCACCAGTACTGAAGCAGGAGGTTCATGCAGCCTTGTTCTACCAAGCCCTGTTGAGTGAGAGGGGAATTTGCCCTAAAGGAGAGTACACAATGTTACTGCCGCTGCTCTGGGGTGGTGAAGCCTTTAGTTTATATCTAGGGCTCCACTGGAGCTTCACCAGAGGAGGCTACCAAAGGTCAAGAGCTTTGCTGAATTAGTGCATCTCCCAGCCACCCTGGACACAAATGCTTTCCAGAAAGCAACGCCCCATTGTTGGAGTACACTAGCTGTCAGTGCATTCCCCTGGCAAAGTTTTCTTTTTGTGGGGCTTTTGCTAGGGCTTATGCTGGCACCCTCATAAACCATGGCAATGCCTGAATTTGATCCTATAAAGGTAGTTAAGTAATGGAGCAAGCAAGCATGGAAAGTGGTGGAGTTGTCATCAGTGAAAATATTCACAGTTACGCTTGACTTCCATCGGTCAGGGATGATTTAGAAATGATAAATTAACTATTTTCCCCATCAGTAAACATCCTTCTTTTAAAGGACTTTGAGATCTACTGATGAAAAGATTCATCCACTATTTGAGTGCAAACTAGTCAGCCTAAACATGCTGAACTCAAATTATATTGCACATTTCCTACTTGCAATCTCCAGTATCACAGAAATAGGATTGGCTCTTATTTGGTTCTCTGCCTCACTTCAAACTCTGAAGATCCAATTCTGATCTCACACCAGTTTTACCCCAAAGCAGCAACTTCACTGACTTTGTAAAAGTTACTTCTGACTTATATGGGTCAAGTGAAAAGGGAATCAGACAAATTCCTTTTTTAAAAAGAAATATCAATGGGCCAAGCTCAACTGCCGTACTTCTATATTAGAGAGACAAGGTGGGTGAGGTAATATCTTTTATTGGACCAGTTTCTGTTGGTGAAAGAGAGAAGCTTTCAAGCTTACACAGAGCTTGTCTCTTTCACTAACAGAAGTTGGTCCAACATGGTTACAACAACACTGCAAACATACTTCTGTATCATCAGAGCATCCTAAACCTGCCAAAAAATGAATGCAGTTGCTTTTTTCCCCACAGATATAATCATGATTTGTTTTTAAGATCCGTACTTAACTTCACCTCCCCATGGAAAAGTGAGTTGCAGCATGGCTCTATTTTCTGTAACACGTTTGCATGTATTTTTGTCGTCTTCCATTTCAGTAATGCTTCCCTCTCCCAGATAATCTGTCCTGCTTTGAAGCTAACACCAATGCCACTCACAATTAATTAGCCAATATATGGTGCTGCTTGTGTGCTGTCACCTCTGCCTTTTTCACCATATAGCAAGCATTGTATACTGCCACTAATGGGCATACAACTTTCACTATTTTAGGGCCTAATCCTGCAGGGTGTTAGCTGTCTCCTGTGATGTGCTGAACACCCTCACCATCCACTGGAGAATAAATGGGTTAGATCCTCCACTGGTATAAATCAGTGTAGCTACATTGACTTCAGCCTTGCTGTGTCAGTGCAAGTCACGGTCGCTACACTGACTTCAGTTTTTACACTAGCTGAGGATTTGGCTTAATGGCAGATGAGGGCATTCAGAACCTCACAGAATTCAGCCCTTATTGAGAGTCTGAAAGTTAGTACAGTTGTCCATTTCCAAAGAAAAAATGTAATGGGTCTTTTAATTGTTCTCTGCAAAAAGGTACTAAATGTACTGAGCTGGATCAGATAAATTCTTTGCTACTTGCCAAATGGCCAGCAGTCATGTGCACCACTGCTACTTAAGTGGGAGACGTTTACAATGTTATGCTCTGAGTAACACAATACTAATATTATGTCACTTAAAAATCTCAATTTAAGCATAAGATCTACCTACTGGAAATGTTTTAAAAAAAGTGAGTCTCTGAAGGTTATTCACTTTCTGTCTAGTGTAATAGTTAATGTTTAACCAAACACTGGTATGTGAAGCACTGTGCAAAGTACCATAGTAACATATATTAAGGAAGAGCTACAGAATTGCCTTTTTTTTTAAATGGGACTACGTTTAAATATATGTGCACCTTTCATCAATCATCATTATAATCATCATGGCAAATCCCAGAGACATACCATCCTTGCAGATTGAGCACCATCATGATCAATGTCTAGCTAGGTCATTAACCTGTCATTGGTCAGATATTCAGTGTATGTCCATCACTGATGATATTATCACACCACCCAAGCTTTTTGTGACACTTTAATTGCTGGCCTTGTAATAGCAGTCCATGGTAAATATACTTTGTAGTCCATTGGTTTTCCATCTTCATAATATGTCCATATCAAAAAGCTGCCAAAACCAAACTAGTGCTGATGATCACACTGTTGCTGAGTAACCCAACTGAAGTCAATGGAACAAAAAGAGTGTAAAATTAGCATATGCAAACACAGAAACAATCCCAGAGGGTCTCACCCAACTCCCATTTAAGTCAATGAGAAATTTTCCATTGACTTCAGTGGAAGTTGAATTGGGACCCTAGTGTGTTATATTCCATATCTTTATTATAAAAAATAGGGGTTAACTGATTAACACATTGAAATACACAGAGATGGCTATATAATTAAGAGCATGCAACTAAGTAGTGATTTAGCTTTTTGTCAAAACATCACTTTTTTCTCATTTTAACCATATTAGTTTAATCGATGGGCAAAAGGGTCAATGGTAGCAGAAATGATACGAGAATTGCTGTTGATGTTTTTTTATTAATTATTATTATTATGTGTATTACTGTAGCACTTAAGAGGCCTAGTCATAGACCAGGACTCCATGAACTTCTTTTTTTAACCCTCGATTTTATAAATTCCAACACTTTTATATGAAGTCCTGTGCAAATTCCTCATGAGGTTTCTGTGCAAAAGGGAAAGGAAGGATGGGTATTTGAGACTGGTGAATTTTTCCAACCCCTTTAAGAGTTTTTTTGGAACACCTCCACAGGCACTTTCTCTCCCCATATTAACTTTACCCATTATCAATAGCTTGACATTTAACAAGATCTTGGGAGAAGATTGTCTAACTGGGTTCAGACTTCAAGTTTTTTTAAGGTTGCTTTCTACATCTGACACCTTTGTCCTTGTAGTGAAAACGGACATAATTTGTGTCCTTATGCTCAGAGCAAAATAGCTCAGCAACATAATGCTGTGACCTAGATAAAAATAGAAGCTTAACTATTGTTAACAACAGATTACCCAGATCTCTCACTCTACACTTGAATTTTATCAAACTCCACTTGAAGATAAATGTATTTGTATTGATTAAAAGCTATCAAAGACAAACTCATTCTTATTCAAACAACCATCTGATGTGGATAATAGCACAGCTTTGCACTTCCATAGCACATTTCATGCAAGGATCTCAAAGCATTTTACAAACAATCCATTAAACTCAGCATCTCTGAGCAGTATGTGTTACCTTCACTATTTTGCAGATGGGGAAACTGAGGCAGATAATTTACATGGCTTGCCCAGGTTCATATGGACTTTCCCCACACTGGAATTTTTTGCATAACATTTCCTATCACAGGTGATAAAAATGGTGGAAGTGCTAGTGAACACAGACTGCTATTAGCTGGCAGAATTTTAACCCTTATGTCATCTAGGTCTGAGCATTAGACCTGCTCTGTACTGGCATTCCTATCACTGTTTCCATTGGTAGGATGGAAAATGTTTATGGAAAGTATCTAGTGTAGCATGATGGGTGAGTAGCAATGACAGGCATAGAAATGAAAAC